GTTTCATCTTTTACATTCAACGCTAAGATCAACCCGTCGGTTGGGGGCTACTGCACCTCTGTACAGGGTTAAGAACCCCTCCCCAATGAACAATCCTGGGTATGACGACAAACTACATCCAGCAGCACGAGCATCTAACAGCTGTTTGTCCCAGCCCCCCCTTTGTGTACCAGAAAATTCACTTTCTGATTTTAACTATAAGTGTCCTTTTTTTTTAACTTCTTATTTACCTTAAAACTTCCTCATTGTTCACATGCTCCATCCACGATATTCTTAACATCCTTATGTGAAAGCATATCTCTGTTGCTTCAAGCCTCTTCTTCACCCTTTCGGAAATTGTTCAGCATTAAATGCCATTTATGAGGACTGATATTAAAATAGCAGTTCAAAGATCCTTTTCTTTGCTTATAAGGAAACATTTCTTTAGACGTCTCTCTCTATTCCGATTCACTTTCGCATTTGGATGTCGCATTTTGTTATCATTTCATCCCAGGCGAGGTAATAAAGCCACTAAGACGCGAGAGGTTCCTGAATTGAATTATTGATGATAAAAACAAACAAAAAATTCCTCCAGGCGACGCAGAAGCCAAAATACGGAAATATATCTGAAAATATCTATGGAACATCTAGTCTCAAGTTCACTTCTCGTCCTAGGTATGACGATAAACTACGTCTAGCAGCAAGGCCTCTGATCGGGAGATTGGAGGTTTTGAGGAACGATGGACGATATCTTAATTGATGTTGTTCCCAGGTCTATCCTGACCCCGGGTGGTAGCACCTGTTAGGGTTCCAGATATGGGCAAATATTGAACTCCCAAACAAAAACAAAACACTATGAAAGTATAAATATATATTTTTATAGTAAAAATACCAGCAATATATATTTATATAAAACTTACCAACAATCCTTATTTATAGTCTGTCCTGAGTATGGCGATAAACTACATCCACGTCCCGGATAAGACGATAAACTACGTCTAACAGCAAGGCCTCTGATCAGGAAGTTTTAAGGAGTGTGGAACCACCTCTTAATTGCTGGTGTTCCCAGGTTCACCCTGACCCGGGGTAGTAGCACCTGTTAGGGTCCCAGCTATGGGCAAATAGTTAACACCCAAACTTGGGTCAAAATACTATGAAAGTGTAAAAATAGGTTTTTTTATACCAGAAATACTTTGCAAAAAAATTATTACCAGCAATAATTTTTGGAAAGAAAAAAATTATAACCAGCAATACTTAAAAAAAAAATTACCAACTATACATTTTTGAAAAAAAAATATTACCAGAAATAGATTTTTGAAGGAAAAAAATATTACCAGCAATACTTTTTTTTGGGGGGGAAGAAATATTACTAGCAATAAAAATTTTGTCGGTATCAAATAACCCATTGAGGTGTTGATATGCCGTAAAACAAAACAAAACAAAACAACTTATTTATAGTGAAATGACCAACAATACGATTTTAAAGCAAAATGACCAGCAATACATTTTATAGTAGAATTAGTAACAATACATTTTATATCAAAATGACCAACAAAACTTCTTATCTGTAGTTGAAAGTATAAAACTGCATTCAAAATATATTCAGTTTATATATAGACACGAGTCTTTAGCTTTTCGACCATACGAATCTCACCATGGTCGATTTGTCAGGAAAAGGACGTTTTTGGTTCGAAGGTGCGACACCTTGGGAAATTGTCTGTAAACCATACCAAGGGATTTCCCAAGCCTTGTGAGTGAAATTGAATAGACGTGACCGAGAGTTTGCCGTACTAGCCTTGTCAGGCAAATGAGGTCTTTCCAAGAAAACCTAATTTATGTCTGCTCAGTATAGTTCCAGTATAAATCACAAGTGGGCTCTGTGGGGGGTTGGACAAACACAAATTTACCTAGGCATTCATCTGGAACAGGGAGTGGTTAGCCGTCTTAATAGACAAGCATCCTCGAATATGAGTGACTAGATATTTAGTTGAAGCCATGAAGTTGTTTTCAAAATATTTCGGCATTAAATAATCCATAGACGTTGATATGCCACTAAACAAAATCAACCAACCAAAATCAAGTTCGCTCCAGACCTCAAGCTGAACTCATGTATACACTTTCGGTACCAATAAAAGTTACGCTACCCTTTCAACCACAACAGGTATTATGTTTTGCACTGCTATCTTTTCCCTTCTCATCTAACCAAGGCGGTGTTATATGAGAACTTTATTTATATAACACAAGTACGATGTTTCAAGTTTGTAATGTTCATTATAGGCCCGGTTCGTTTCTAAAACTTTTGACGCCATCTCAGCTATCATGTTCATATAAAAAATGTTATTTAGAGAAATGTTTGTAAGAAATATAAGCTATCCTCGACCCGCAAAAATATCTCTCTAGATATTTATCATAAAACATTATGTTCTTATAAATTATATTTTCTGTGTGATATAAAACGATTAAAATCTCATTAGTAACGCAGATTATACATTAGGCATCCCTTTCTCACAGACGAATCCCGTTCAAACACCTGTTCTAGTAAGATCACCGAAGTTAAGCATCCTCGAGCCTGGTTAGTATCTAGATGGGTGAACGGTTGGGAATGCCAAGTGCTATAAGCTACGATGTGAGTGTGGTGCAATGAATAACGCACAGGAATTGGAAATCGGAGAGTCGAGTTTTGATTGCAGTCAGGTTTGTTATATTGACTTGGTGAAGGTATAAATACATCTCTTCTTCTCTGCTCCACCAACTATGGGTTAAATAGTAGTACCTGTATCAGGAGAATCATTATTATTTGAAAAAATTCTTACAATCCAAAAATATTTTTGGCTTTAAATAACCTTCAAAAGGTTGATAGCCGTAAAAAAAACAAACAAAAACAAACCAATCTTTCTTTCTTTCTTTCTTTCTTTCTTTCTTTCTTTCTTTCTTTCTTTCTTCCCTCCTTCTTTCTTTCTTTCCAGCCATATCACGTTGAAACGCCAGTTCTCGTTCGATCATGGAAGTTAAGCAACGTCGAGTTTGTTCAGTACCTAGATGGGTGACCGCTTTGGAATACCAGCTACTGTAAAGCTTGAATGTGTGGGTGGTGTAATGGATAACGAATCGGAATTGGAAATCGGAGAGCCGAGTTCCAATTCCAATCGGGTTCGTTATATTCACTTAATCAACCTTGGTAAAGGCATGAATACACTTCTTCTTTCCTCCCCCATCAGCTATGGGTTAATTAGTAGTATCAGTAAAACAATTATTATCTCCCAACAATTCTTATTTTCTAGTTTTAAATAACCTTAAAAAGGTTGATAAGCCGTAAAAAAACAAATCAGTCTTTTTTTGTTACTTCCTTCCTTCCTTCCTTCCTTCCTTCCTTTCTTTCTTTCTTTCTTTCTTTCATTCTGTCTGAGTGTATGTACTTGTATATTTTACAATGACTAAAACAATGCTAAAAATTCTTTACGCGATCGACATTTCTAGTTTTCTTCTGGGGTCCCCAACGACAAAACTAAAATTGCCATACCATCTCTCTTTAAAAAACAAAAATAAAAAATAAAAACAATAAAAATAACGCCAATAAAAACAGAAATAAAATTTAAAAAAAATGATTTATTTAAAAAGAAAAAAACATGCAGCAAGAGATTATGTGAGCAACAACAAAGTTTTAGAGAAAATGGAAACAAAAAAGAAACTCATATTTAACATCAGGAAGAGATAGTTGAAGTTTCTGGGGCATATAATGAGGAAGGAAGGCTTGGAGAGACTGATACACTCAAGAAAGATTGAAGTCAAGAGGAAAACAACACATAACATACTTAGTGAGCTTGCGTAAATGGATGACAGAAAAGGATTAAGGGGACATAACAGAAAGACAGTTTATTAAGCGTTACAAGGGAGAGGAAGTTGTGGAGTGCCATGATCACCAACGCCCCGATGGGCCACGGCACATAAAGAAGAAGATATCTAATCTTTATTTTACTGTGCTTCTTAGTGAGGAGGAGGAAGAAGGATGAGAGGAAGAGGAGGAGGAGAAGCAGAAGGGGGGGAGGAGAAGCAGAAGGGGAGGAGAAGGAGCAGAAGGGGAGGAGGAGAAGGTGAATTGGATTTTTATAACCCCATGTTTTCCCTTTCCTTTATTTTTTGTATCAAAGAAATTTCAAGTAAAACTTTGTTTATTTTTCATTTATTTTTTATTTTTACTGCGAACAAACGAATAAAAAAAGGGGAATTTGATATTACTGGAAGCAAACACAGGCAAATTTGATTTAAAGCGAACAGAATAAAGAAAACGAATTTGCTTTATATTTGTTTTTTTGTTTTTTCATTTCTTCAGCTTCAGTCACCATGTTAGCCGGTGAAACTCATTACTATGGCTACTAATTTATCTGCAGTTATCAACCATGGAAGTGTGCATAGTGTAACTTTTACGCGCTCGTAAATTGAAATCGGTTTACAGAGTTCAAATTTTGACCGAGTCTGTTTCGCTTACTTCATACGAATCCATTTTCCCCGCCAGTTATTATATATATAGCAGGGAAGACTGAGTTCATCAAGTTTTGGAAAAGGAAAAATTTGAATTCAAAACTTTGTAAATAATCGTACAGACTGGGGCTTTTTTCAGCAACTAGTTTACAATTCGCTTGAATTTATTATGCAAACCACAAACATCACGTTTGTAATTATGCAAATCACAAATAAAACCTCACAAACTCAAATTTGCTTCGAACAATTTTTTGTCAAATTTTAAACGATTAGTTTAGACGTAAAAACAAAATTTGAGTTAAATTTTTAGGTAGTTTCAACATGATTTCTTAAAGTTATTGGATTTATTATAAAAGATGCTGGATAAAATTATGTAAACTATGGTGGACTCTACGTGACACAATTCAATGCCTAATAAACGAAAGTGACTAAGTGATATTTTCTGTGATATTTTTTTTAAATATAAAAGATGCTATAAATGTCATATCATCAGCTTTTGCTTTAGATGTGGGTACCTTATTTTAAAAAAATAATTCAGTTATGAAAAACACAAGTATTTGAACTGTCTTGTGGTTAAAATAGTCTGATATTTTTTCATTTGTATCAGAAATCAGTGTTCAAGTCCTACTATAAGTTAAATTTCAGAACAACTATAAGATCTTCTTTGATCTATTTCCTCACTCAGTCAATTTGGTATCGTGGTGGAAATAAACTGAACTTTATATTTAAAAAAAAATTTCCACACCACTAAGAAAAATTATGGCAATTAACTCAAAGAAAATTTTTGTGTTAATTCTCATATAAATAAGTTTGTTGTTTGGTAAATATGTAAGTAGTTGGCACCATTACAGTCCATCCCAAGTTATTATGCAAATCACTTAAATTTCAATAAATTGAATTTGTTTTGAAAAATATGTTAAATTTTAAATGATTAAGATATCAAAACAAAACTCGAGTTAAATTTTTTATTTATTTTCAACATATTTTCTTAGTTATTGAATTTATTATAAAATCTACAGTCTGGAGTTATTATGCAGAATTAACTAATATTAGCTTAAGGCCTCTGAAATCTATTGTATTTTTTTATCCTTTTCACCCTAATATATGTTGAAGCCTGGGTAATAGAGTCTAAGAAATGCTGAAAAATATAACAGAGTGAGTGAGGGATATGTCCACATTGGACATATTAAAGGAGCTTCACAAAGATCATGAGACAATAAAGAAGGCTGTTGAAAATATAAGTTGAGAACTAGAAACAAAGGAAAAATGGCTTTAAAGAATTTGTCTCCTTCAAAATATAAACTAAAAGTGAGTTATAGAAAAAACATTTTTGACCAGTGCTTAGATCTTTGAAAAAGGCTGGAATTGAGGTTGTCAGGAGGACAAAAGGTGTGGTGTACTTTACAAACTAGGATCTGTCAAGAAATCCCCAAAAGGCAAATTCATTTCATTTCATGAAGTTTTTTAACATAAGAGGTTTATCGGAGAGATGATAATGGAATGGCTACCATCAGATGCCAATCGGAATCCAATTGAAAATCTATGGTCAGTTGTGAAGAGGAAATTATATAAAGGTGGCAAACAATATGACAGCAAAGCAGAACTATGGAAAGCAATTAAAAACCACCATGTCAGAAATTGAACCTGCTGAAGTAAAAAAAAAAATAGATTTCTGGCTATTATTGAGAAGAACGATTAAGATGTAAATGCTTCAAAAACTTATGTTTATTTGTTGTATTACAGGTATTGATTAAAGGTTGATAAAGAAGGCTGTTGAAAATATAAGTAATTTGAGAACTAGAAATAAAGGAAAAGGGTTTAAAGAATTTGTCGCCTTCAGAACATAAACTAAATTGAGTTATAGGGAAACAAACTATTTTTGACCAGTGCTTAGATCTTTGAAAAGGCTTGAATTGAAATAGTTTCAACATGTTTTATTAAAATTATTGAATTTATTATGAAATCTGCAATCTGGAGTTATTATGCAGATTAAACTAATATTAACTTAATGACTCTGAAATCTAATAAAATCTATTTTCTTCTTCATTTTTTCAATAATTTCAAACATGGATAATGGAAAGGATCTAACAAGGCTGAAAAACAGAAAATAACAAAACTTTGTTTTAACGTCTAAATTAATCATTTCAAATTTGGCAAAAATGATTCAAAAGCAAAATTATTGAGGTTTATGTGATTTGCATAATAACTTCAGACGAACTGTAGAAAGACAACTCCAAACTCCAAACCAACTTGAAAAGGAAAAGACACACAAATCTTGTCCTAGAGGCGCCAACGGTGGCAGCATATATGTTGCACTTAGGAATTTACGATCTCAAGATTCTTCATCGACTTATACTTAGAGATACAGTCAAAATGGCAATGCTGAATGCCATATGTAAGATGAATCGAAAGAAAAGATGGGAGTGGCGAGTTAAGGAGGGAAGGATGACGTTTGACCCTTTTCAAGGTCAAGACTGAAGTTTTCATCCATGTGCGTGGGGTCTGTTCCATAAAGTGGTAATTCTTGGGGGAAAAGAAAGGCTGTCTGAGGGGTGCTATTTTTATATTTGAGGGAAAGAGGAAATGATTGTTGTTTCCATGAAAGTGGAATTGGAAAAGGCATGAATCAATCTTCTTTTCGTTATGGGTAAAACAGCAGAGCAGACGGCTCTCTCTTGCCTTGGGTGGCAGCCAGTCTTGGAGAAGGAAAACTTTGAATTTAAACCGTTGTAAATAACAGTGCAGAGATTTAATTTTTTAGCTTTCAAAGAGCAATCAATGTAGATAGAAAACTGAATTCAAACTAACCTAAAAAATGAAGGACATCGCCAACGTATCTCCTCTTAGATCCCTCCACTGATGCAATGATTCTCATGTATGCTGTGACCCTACGACCATAATAGATTACGGGAATCTTGACTTACCAGATATTCTAAGATATACAATAGGATCTGTCTATATTTCTGAGATGAGGTATTATGTATACTATTTACATTATTCGGATTATTGTCCTCATCTTTGACGCCATATTTATCACAACATTTCGGCCGTTCTAAGCTCTGGCCTTCTTCAGGCGGTTGGAATGTCGAACTAAATCTTTATTTCGTTCACTGGGGTAGACTGTTCTAGTTCCACGTG